GACGAAGCAGGGAGGGGTGGCCAAGGCGGTGGTGCCAGAGGAGAGTCTCGTGAGACAGGAGGCGACACGAGCAGGGGGCAGACTCAGGACCAGACCTGGACGCTGCAGCAAACACCTGACCCGACGCAGCTACCTGACCAGACGCAGGGACTGGAGGAGACGCAGTGGTCAGTGTGTACAGGCTCGACCCTGGCCGACGTGTAAACGTGGCCAGGTGGCGGCCTGTCCGAGCGTCCGTGCAGTGGGTCACCCGCTGACTCGCAGGAGTGAACTGGTGAACCCCCGCATCCTGTAGGTCAGCACCACTCACCAAGTTCGTAGAGAACGAGGGGAGGTAGAGACCAGACAGGGTGCCAGAGGGGGCTGCCGGACACGGGAGGACAGTGGAGAAGTGAGCAAGGACAGGACCCCCAGAGGGGTCTGCCAGGGAGACCGCAACTGGCCGGCCAAGCGGCGTGAGTGTGGTGCGGTCTCGAAAGAAGGAGCGAGAAGCCCCCGAGTCAAGTGTGAAGGTGTGGGAGGCCGAAGCCGACGCAGAACCTGAGAGAGCAGACTCACCAGCACCTGAGGGAGCAGACGCACCTAGAGCAGCAGCCTCGCTAGCACCTAGAGCAGCAGCCTCACCAGGACCTAGAGCAGCAGTCTCAATGCCCGGGTCGGGCGGAAAACACCGGTAACAGTCACCCTCATCACTAATAGTCACAGTATACACGGCAGCAAGAATAGCATCAAAGTCAAGGTCAAAGACAGCTACACCCGCCCTAGACAGCTCACCCCAGCGGGGGATCTCAGTGGCCTCAGGGAACTGGTGACGCCAAGCGTCCGTGAGGCGGCCAAAGCAGCGCTGGGTGGAGTGTGCACCCCCGCACTGCTCACCCGCGCGGTCGCCGGTGCGCAGGACGTAGGTGCACGGACCAGCACCCCCACCCCTCTGGCGTGCAGTGTACCACTCACGGAGCTGCTGAGGGGAGGGGACGTCACGAGTGCGCTGCTGCTGCTGCTGCTGCTGCTGCTGCTGGCGCTGACCACCACCGGAGCTGACCCTTTGCGCAGTGCCACCCCGACCAGCTCCACCTCCTCCGCCGCCTCCTCCTCCACCGCCGCCACCTCCGCTCCCTCCGCCACCGCCGCTGCCTCCTGCGCCTCCACTGCCGCCACCTACACCTCCACCCCCGCCACCACTCCCACCGCCACCCCCACCTCCTCCACCACCTCCACCGCCGCCTCCACCGCCCCCGCTAGCTCCTCCAGCGCCCCTGCCCCCCTTGCCCCTGCCAGGGCGGCGTCTCCCGCTAGGGGTAGACGCTGCCCCAACCGACTCCAAACCAGCGAGGTCGGCCGCAGCAGCAGAGGCAACAGAGGGCAAAAGAGGGGAGGGGGAACACCCCTCAAAGATGGGGGTGCGAGGGTCACCACGAGAGGCTCCTACAGCGACTATGCTCTTTTCTGCTGCTAGGAGGGCCTTCTCGAGGAGGTCAACGGTGAGAGTGGTGGGACAAACCGAGAGGAAGTGGTCCCTGACTACGCGAAGGGAGTCAGGGAGACGGGTGACTATGTAGTAGAGGGTGATGTACATGGGGGGGGGGTTCTTGGCGCAGAACTCAGCAGGAAGCGCAGCGCGGTAGCGAGTGTCACTAGAGCGGAGGTGCGTAATGAGGTCAGCGACTGTGGGAAAGGCAGCAAGGTCAGGGAAGAGGTACGGTAGCATGAGGCGGCTCAGTGCAGCAGTGGCAGGGGAGGAGTAGCGTGCAACTACAGCGTCGTACAAGGTCTGAGCACTCTTGTACTGGCTAAAGTGCGCACGCTCAGAGGTAGGGAGGTGGCGACGCACAGCAAGACGTGCAGCAGCATCGCGCGTGGCCCACTGTGAGCGAACGGTGGCGTCAGCATCAGCAGCTGGGGCAGGAGAGGCACCAGAAGTGAGGTCAAAGAGGGAGAGGCCGTCTGCTCTGTCGCACTGTAAGAAAAGCTGCAGGTCATCTATCCAGACGTCAAAGTCAATGGCCCTACCCTCAGCGTCAAAAGCGAGGACACTAGGGGTAGCCATGACAGCAGTAGACTAGCAGTGCAAACAGTAGGGCGAGGGCAGTGCTGTGAGAGAGGCGCTGCTCTTACCGGACAGGGCGGTTCGGGCGGCTCGGCTGCAGGGCGGCTCGGCGGCTCGGCGGCTGGGCGGCTCGGCTGCTGGGCGGCTCGGCTGCGGACAGGGCATCTCGGCGGCTGGGCGGCTCGGCGGCTCGGCTGCTGGGCGGCTCGGCTGCTGGGCGGCTCGGCTGCTGGGCGGCTCGGCGGCTGGGCGGCTTGGCTGCTGGGCGGCTCGGCGGGGCCGCTGAGAGGGCGGCATCCGGGGCCGATGGGAGGAGGCGGCGGGGCCGCAAAGGTAAGTGGCGGGGCCGCGGAGGTAGGTGGCGGGGCCGCACAGTGAGGTGGCGGGGCCGCGAAGGTAGGTGGCGGGGCCGCACAGGTAGGTGGCGGGGCCGCGGAGGTAGGTGGCGGGGCCGCACAGTGAGGTGGCGGGGCCGCGAAGGTAGGTGGCGGGGCCGCACAGGTAGGTGGCGGGGCCGCGGAGGTAGGTGGCGGGGCCGCACAGTGAGGTGGCGGGGCCGCGAAGGTAGGTGGCGGGGCCACACAGGTAGGTGGCGGGGCCGCACAGGTAGGTGGCGGGGCCGCGGAGGTAGGTGGCGGGGCCGCGGAGGTAGGTGGCGGGGCCGCACAGTGAGGTGGCGGGGCCGCGAAGGTAGGTGGCGGGGCCGCGGAGGTAGGTGGCGATGGGCGCGACGGGCGCGACTGGCGCGACGGGCGCGACGGGCCGAAAGGGCGGCGCGACTCGGGCCGGCGCAAAACGCGCTCCGGGCAGGAAAAAAAAAAAATTTCGTGGTGGTGGGCCCTAGGAATCGTTCCCACTAGGGAACCTGCTCGATACCATGAGAAGAAACGAGGAATGAAATGACTAAGTGAAAGTTGGGTACAAGAAGCAAACCCTAGAAAACTGTACCCCATATGTGCTACCCCACTATAGCCTACAGTAGCTATGTCATATAAATCTGACAGATATGTGTCACAGAATAAATTGTTTTTACAATTTTATGATCACGGGGCTTGGTCCGGGCTAAGCCATAACTTTATGTTCGAGTTTTGCATTTTTGTTGCATACTAATAGGGTGACATAGGCAAATGCAATGCATCATATCAATTATTTCGTATGTCCAAACTTTGTCGTTTGCATGACTTTCCATGCCGAACAACTAAAAAAACGGCCGTGATGATACGCATGTTATACATGGGTTTAAAAATTAGTATGCGAAGTGCGTGATTAATATGGTAATTATATAAATGTCCGAATCGTTAGTCGTCCATACGATCAATGTTGCAAATGATACATATCATATGAATAATTTATGTAGCCTAAAATTATGAATATAAAGCGCTTTTTAATACACTTATGATACACTTCTCGAATTCCAAAGATAATATGTTTTTGTTATATGAAATATATATAGTTGTAGCATCATATGTCATCTCTTTTTATATGCTTGAGGATTTCCTCGTCTCATGCATCATATGTATTTTACGGATTCTAGTCTGAATTGCTATGAAAATATACCTCGATATCAACAACAAAATTTTGTTATGCAAAGCACGAATGCTTCGAAGAGACACTACAATAGGTAAAATGTGTCAGGAATCAGATTTGAAACATTTGGGAGTTTGTAATTGATACGCAATGTGGGTGTTTTTAACGTATAATATAATTTATTCTTGCCAATCAAAATTGGTTACGACAATGAATGGTTTATCCTACTGAAAAAGAACATATATTTTCATACTTATATATAGAAAACAAATTCGTATACTGCATTTTTTTTCTGAACACAGCAACACAAGAGTGACCTAATCAGTCAAACTTGATGCTCCTTTGAGATAGGGATACTTTTTCCAATTTCAATGAGGGGAAGGGGATGGAACAATGCACGATCGTGGATCTGTATCGAGTGGGACGTTGTCGATGGATTCGGGAGGCTAGCCTTTTTTATGACTCATGCGGGATTCGAGAGGAATGCGTTCATTGAGCATCATGGTGGTTTGAAATGGAGATAGATGCACCAATTCGGGTGGTGTACAGTTTCAGGGGCACCACACCATGAAACCTAAGCTTACCACCCAGGCGGAGCACTGTACATATTTCCAACGGACTCGTCTCGCGGTTCGGTGACTAATACAGTAAGTAGTTGCCATTTTTAGGACAAGCCGAACGGTCTCGAGAAAACGAGAACGAACCTTTGACCAGATCGTCTTTGCCAGGTCGATTACCGTACGATTCCAGTTGGAGTTGTAGGCGACTTGGCGTGTTACTAATATTAGGCTGGGAGGATATAAAAAGCAACTTGTTGGAATAAGGGATTAGAGGATATTAGGCAGCTCGTAGCTGTCGACGTGGTTGTCGCCGGACCTGCTCTCTTTTCGACTAACGTTCCTCCGCCTTTCACATTCTCGACGCGACAATTTGCAGAACCAATTGTGGAATCTGATCAGACCTGGATGTATTTTCTCGCCACTCCACGCCGCTAGAAGGCGACGGCATTTAGATTCAAGAGCACTAAGTAGCCGATTTGTACAGTGACTACTCTTACAGCAGACCTAGCGGGCACTGGGTGGCAGCGAAACCCTAAAAGGGCCGCGAGGTAGAATAGGGGTGCAAGCTTGATTTATCTTCGCCATGCTTAGAAGACCCGCCTAGCGCCGCAGGTATCGCCAACCATCGCAGAACGAAGCAGCCGCGTGCCACAGAGCGTCGCCGAAATCTGAAAAACGTCGCAGGAACAATCCGAGGGTCGCAATCCGCCAAGCAGCACCTGAAGAATCGTCCCAGGGTCGCAGGCATCAGCCGAGCGTCGCAATCGCACAGACTCGTCTTTCGCAGGATGCGGTAGGAAGCGAAATCTAAGAAGGGCAGCGGAGTGACTGTATTCTGGAGGGACAATTTCAAGGAGGCGTGCAGAATGGGGCGCGGGAAGATCGAGATTCGGAAGATTGACAACGCGACGACGCGGCAAGTGACCTTCTCGAAGCGGCGCAATGGGCTGCTGAAGAAGGTGCGCGGGGGGGTGCTGAAGAAGGTGCGGTGGGCGGATGGGCGTGGTGGGTGCCGGAGAGAAGGGGGCGGAAGAGGAAGAGGAGGGGAAATGGGGGAAAGGTTGGGTCTCCCGCACCCAAATGTGCACTTCCTGCGCGCTGCTCCCTTCCCCTGCGCGGCGCCCATCTCCGTGCACCCATCCTGCTGCGCTGCGCCTGTCCCGGGTGCCCATCCCTAGCGGCTATCTCATGCGCGCATCCCATGCGTCCAACCCCTGCACCTATCTGCGCCCATCCCATCACTTGCGCCATCCCATGCGCCCATGCGCCCAGTCCCTGCGCCACCCCTTGCGCCCACCCCTTGCTCCCACCCCTGTGCGCCCACCCCTGTGCGCCCACCCCTGTGCGCCCAACCCCGTGCGCCGACCCCGTGCGCCCACCACCTGCGCCCACCCCGTGCGCCCATCCCGTGCGCCCATCCCCTGCGCCCACCCCGTGCGCCCACCCCGTGCGCCCACCCCTGTGCGCCCATCCCTGTGCGCCCATCCCTGTGCGCCCACCCCTGTGCGCCCAACCCCGTGCGCCCACCCCCTGCGCCCACCCCCTGCGCCCATCCCGTGCGCCCATCCCGTGCGCCCACCCCGTGCGCCCACCCCGTGCGCCCACCCCTGTGCGCCCATCCTTGTGCGCCCACCCCTGTGCGCCCACCCCTGTGCGCCCAACCCCGTGCGCCGACCCCGTGCGCCCCACCCCCTGCTCCCACCCCATGCGCCCACCCCGTGCGCGCATCCCGCGCCCACCCCGTGCGCCCACCCCGTGCGCCCACCCCTGTACGCCCATCCCTGTGCGCCCACCCCTGTGCGCCCACCCCTGTGCGCCCACCCCTGTGCGCCCAACCCCGTGCGCCGACCCCTTGCGCCCCACCCCCTGCTCCCACCCCATGCGCCCACCCCGTGCGCGCATCCCGCGCCCACCCCGTGCGCCCACCCCGTGCGCCCACCCCTGTGCGCCCATCCCTGTGCGCCCACCCCTGTGCGCCCACCCCTGTGCGCCCACCCCTGTGCGCCCAACCCCGTGCGCCGACCCCTTGCGCCCCACCCCCTGCTCCCACCCCATGCGCCCACCCCGTGCGCGCATCCCGCGCCCACCCCGTGCGCCCACCCCGTGCGCCCACCCCTGTGCGCCCATCCCTGTGCGCCCACCCCTGTGCGCCCACCCCTGTGCGCCCACCCCTGTGCGCCCAACCCCGTGCGCCGACCCCTTGCGCCCCACCCCCTGCTCCCACCCCATGCGCCCACCCCGTGCGCGCATCCCGCGCCCACCCCGTGCGCCCACCCCTTGCCCATCCTCTGCGCCCGCCCCGTGCGTCCATCCCCTGCACGCATCCCTTGCGCCCATCCCCCTGTGCCCACCCCCCTGTGCCCACCCCCGTGCACCCCCTATTCCCCCCTCCCCTCCACTCCCCCCCGCGCTTTCATCCCCCGGCAGGCGTACGAGCTGGCGGTGCTGTGCGACGTGGAGATCGGCGTCATCATCTTCTCCGCCACCGGCAAGCTCTTCCAATACGCCAGCACCAAGTCAGTGACACGTCAGCGCCCAGTCAGTATGGCGTCAGCACAAAGTCAGTACCACGTCAGCGCCGAGTCAGTATCACGTCAGCACATGTGCCGTCAGCATGGGCGTCACGTCAGAGTGCACCCACGCGTCACCCTGCTTCGCACGAACCTCCCCGCCCATTGGCCTCCCCGCCAGCCTTTCCCCCTATCTCTTCCTCCTCCTACCACCTCCCTTCCCCCCCCCTCCCCCCCTCCCCCCCCTCCCCCCCCAGCATGGACGCCATAGTGGAGCGGTACCGGCGGCTGGCGGTGGAGGAGCGGCAAGGACACCGCCCGCCGTGGACAAGCAGCAGAACCCCCCCAGAGCGCCGGCCTATGCCCACCGGCCGCTGCAAGCACAGCAAGGAGCGGCCGGGCGAGCAGCAAGCGAAGAGGCTCCAGCTGCAGCAGTTGGAAGGGCAAGGCCATGGCCACGCCACAGGGAATGCTCGTATGGCCCTCCCTGCCCTTCCCTGCCCTTTCCCTGCCCTTCCCTGCCCTTCTGCCCTTTCCCTGCCCTTCCCTGCCCTTCCCTGCCCTTTCCCTGCCCTTCCCTGCCCTTCCCTGCCCTTCCCTGCCCTTCCCTGCCCTTCCCTGCCCTTCCTGCCCTTCCCTGCCCTTCCCTGCCCTTCCCTGCCCTTCCCTGCCCTTCCCTGCCCTTCCCTGCCCTTCCCTGCCCTTCCCTGCCCTTCCCTGCCCTTCCCTGCCCTTCCCTGCCCTTCCCTGCCCTTCCCTGCCCTTCCCTGCCCTTTCCCTGCCCTTCCCTGCCCTTCCCTGCCCTTCCCTCCCTTCCCTGCCCTTCCCTGCCCTTCCCTGCCCTTCCTGCCCTTCCCTGCCCTTCCCTGCCCTTCCCTGCCCTTCCCTGCCCTTCCCTGCCCTTCCCTGCCCTTCCCTGCCCTTCCCTGCCCTTCCCTGCCCTTTCCTGCCCTTCCCTGCCCTTTGCCCTGCCCTGCTTTCCTGCCCTTCCCTGCCCTTCCCTGCCCTTCCCTGCCCTTCCCTGCCCTTCCTGCCCTTCCCCCTTCCCTGCCCTTCCCTGCCCTTCCTGCCCTTCCCTGCCCTTCCCTGCCCTTCCCTGCCCTTCCTGCCTTCCCTGCCCTTCCTGCCCTTCCCTGCCCTTCCCTGCCCTTCCCTGCCCTTCCCTGCCCTTCCCTGCCCTTCCCTGCCCTTCCCTGCCCTTCCCTGCCCTTCCCTGCCCTTCCCTGCCCTTCCTGCCCTTCCCTGCCCTTCCCTGCCCTTTCCCTGCCCTTCCCTGCCCTTCCCTGCCCTTCCCTGCCCTTCCTGCCCTTCCCTGCCCTTCCCTGCCCTTCCCTGCCCTTCCCTGCCCTTCCCTGCCCTTCCCTGCCCTTCCCTGCCCTTCCCTGCCCTTCCCTGCCCTTCCCTGCCCTTCCCTGCCCTTCCCTGCCCTTCCCTGCCCTTCCCTGCCCTTCCCTGCCCTTCCCTGCCCTTCCCTGCCCTTCCTGCCCTTCCCTGCCCTTCCCTGCCCTTCCCTGCCCTTCCCTGCCCTTCCCTGCCCTTCCCTGCCCTTCCCTGCCCTTCCCTGCCCTTCCCTGCCCTTCCCTGCCCTTCCTGCCCTTCCCTGCCCTTCCCTGCCCTTCCCTGCCCTTCCCTGCCCTTCCCTGCCCTTACCCTGCCCTTCCCTGCCCTTCCCTGCCCTTCCCTGCCCTTCCCTGCCCTTCCCTGCCCTGCCCTGCCCTTCCCTGCCCTTCCCTGCCTTCCCTGCCCTTCCCTGCCCTTCCCTGCCCTTCCCTGCCCTTCCTGCCCTTCCCTGCCCTTCCCTGCCCTTCCCTGCCCTTCCCTGCCCTTCCCTGCCCTTCCCTGCCCTTCCCTGCCCTTCCTGCCCTCCCTGCCCTTCCCTGCCCTTCCGCCCTTCCCTGCCCTTCCCTGCCCTTCCCTGCCCTTCCCTGCCTTCCTGCCCTTCCCTGCCCTTCCCTGCCCTTCCCTGCCCTTCCCTGCCCTTCCCTGCCCTTCCCTGCCCTTCCTGCCCTTCCCTGCCCTTCCCTGCCCTTCCCTGCCCTTCCTGCCCTTCCCTGCCCTTCCCTGCCCTTCCCTGCCCTTCCCTGCCCTTCCCTGCCCTTCCCTGCCCTTCCCTGCCCTTCCCTGCCCTTCCCTGCCCTTCCCTGCCCTTCCCTGCCCTTCCCTGCCCTTCCCTGCCCTTCCCTGCCCTTCCCTGCCCTTCCCTGCCCTTCCTGCCCTTCTGCCCTTCCCTGCCCTTCCCTGCCCTTCCCTGCCCTTCCCTGCCCTTCCCTGCCCTTCCCTGCCCTTCCCTGCCCTTCCCTGCCCTTCCCTGCCCTTCCCTGCCCTTCCCTGCCCTTCCCTGCCCTTCCCTGCCCTTCCCTGCCCTTCCCTGCCCTTCCCTGCCCTTCCCTGCCCTTCCCTGCCCTTCCCTGCCCTTCCCTGCCCTTCCCTGCCCTTCCTGCCCTTCCCTGCCTTCCCTGCCCTTCCCCTGCCCTTCCCTGCCCTTCCCTGCCCTTCCCTGCCCTTCCCTGCCCTTCCCTGCCCTTCCCTGCCCTTCCCTGCCCTTCCCTGCCCTTCCCTGCCCTTCCCTGCCCTTCCCTGCCCTTCCCTGCCCTTCCCTGCCCTTCCCTGCCCTTCCCTGCCCTTCCCTGCCCTTCCCTGCCCTTCCCTGCCCTTCCCTGCCCTTCCCTGCCCTTCCCTGCCCTTCCCTGCCCTTCCCTGCCCTTCCCTGCCCTTCCCTGCCCTTCCCTGCCCTTCCCTGCCCTTCCCTGCCCTTCCCTGCCCTTCCCTGCCCTTCCCTGCCACTTCCTGCCCTTCCCTGCCCTTCCCTACCTGCCCTTACCCTGCCCTTCCCTGCCCTTCCCTGCCCTTCCCTGCCCTTCCCTGCCTTCCCTGCCCTTCCTGCCCTTCCCTGCCCTTCCCTGCCCTTATTGCCCTTCTGCCCTTCCCTGCCCTTCCTGCCCTTCCCTGCCCTTCCCTGCCCTTCCCTGCCCTTCCCTGCCTTCCCTGCCCTTCCCTGCCCTTCCCTGCCCTTCCTGCCCTTCCCTGCCCTTCCCTGCCCTTCCCTGCCCTTCCCTGCCCTTCCCCTGCCCTTCCCTGCCCTTCCCTGCCCTTCCCTGCCCTTCTGCCTTCCATGCCCTTCCTGCCCTTCCCTGCCCTTCCCTGCCCTTCCCTGCCTTCCCTGCCCTTCCCTGCCCTTCCCTGCCTTCCCTGCCCTTCCCTGCCCTTCCCTGCCCTTCCCTGCCCTTCCCTGCCCTTCCTGCCCTTCCCTGACCCTTCCCCTGCCCTCCTGCCCTCCTGCCCTTCCTGCCCCTTCCCTGCCCTTCCTGCCCTTCCCTGCCCTTCCCTGCCCTTTCCCTGCCTGCCCTTCCCTGCCCTTCCCTGCCCTTCCCTGCCCTTCCTGCCCTTCCTCCCTGCTCCTTCCCTGCCCTTCCCTGCCCTTCCCTGCCCTTCCCAGCCCTTCCCTGCCCTCACTCCCTGCCTTCCTCCACCCCCTCCGCTCCCTCCGTTCCCTCCCCGCAATCCATTGCCTGCCTGCCTGCCCGTCCCTCTCCTTCCACATGTCTATGATTTCTCCGCATGTGCTGGTGTTCTCTCAGGTCAACCCTCTCTGCACTCCATGTGGTCTGTCCTCTTACAATTCTAATTCTTAAAACGTTTACGGTTGCTTCCCTTCCCATCCCTTCGCCTTGCGTCCAGACTCTCCTCCCTTCTTCTTTCTTTTCTTTCTTGGCCTCCCAAACGTCTAAAACCCATCCCCTTTCTTTTTTCTCCTTTCTCCTCCCTTTTCTTCGCGCCCATCCTTGTTACTTTTCCTTCACCTCCGCTTCACTCTTCCATTCGTGCCCCTTCCTGTCACCCTCCCTGCGTCCCTCCTCCCTTCCCCTCTCTACCCCTTCCCCTTCCCTCCTGCCCACCTCCATTCCTTCCGTCCTCATTCATTCCCCTCCCCTCCCGTCGCATTCCCTGCACTCTCGTGCACTCCAGGAGGCAGCAGAGCAACAGGATCAACCGCGCGACTTGGAGGTTTCAAGGTGTGCTTAATTCCTCTTGATAACGCATGGGGGGAGCGGGGGGGGGGGGGGGGGGGGGGGGGGGGGGGGGGGGGGTTGTTATGGGCTGAAGGCTGGCACGCCTCTAGGGTTGGGTCTATATCGACTTTCTGAAATGACGAGATCTATAGAATGGTGGGACCATCTTGAGATTTGGTTTTGTGGATTGATTGCGGTGAAAAGTGGTAAGCGGAGGGAAATGGGCAGGAAATTTGTGGTTGGAAATTGTGCTGGATGGCACGATGTGCACGGATCGACGGGCGTAACCGAACCTGGGTGGGGTCGGATCAACCCGTAGTGGGGTGGCGGAGTACGGATCCTGAGAGCTTGTCTGAGGGCACCCTGCATCTGCTCCCATGCCTTGCCCGTATTGCGCTTCAAAGATCATCGCATGCACTCCAGAGTTCCTATTCCCGCCCTATCGTCCCCAAGGCAATCACACTCACGTTCATCTCCTTCCTCCTCCCCCATCCTCGTTCCCCCCCTCTCTCCCCCTTCCCCCCTCCCCTGGCCTCCACCCATTACCCTGCAACTTATGGTGTCCAGGCTGCAAGACCAGCCGTTGACGGCGCTTGCTTGCCTCGACGCAACAGGAGAGTCGTTTGAAGGCCTGGGATTGGATGAGATGAGGCGGGTGGAGAAGCAGCTAGAAGCCAGCCTATCTCGATTGAGAGAAAAAAAGGTGGGAATGGGAGGGTGGGAGAGAAAGCAATGGTAGGGAAGAGGTGAGCAAGTGGGCCCAGCGGCCGCAGCACAGAGGCTGCTTCCGCTGCTCCTGGGCTGTCATTCCGGTCATTCCATTCCAACTCCCACTGCTGTGGCATGGACGATTAGGCGATGCGATGCGATGGGTATAGTGACGCCGCCGCTCAGATGCCATACCACTGCTCATGCTCATTCCACACCTCATGTCCCCAATCCCGCCACCCTCCCCCCCCGCCCCACTGCCACTGCGCTCCCCTGTGTGACCTCGCCCGTGTGGCAGGAGGAGCTGTTCAACCGAACCATCTCCCACCTCAAATCGCGCGTACGTTGCCCTGCCTGCTGCCTCATTCCCGATTGCGTGCCTGCCTCTCTATCTTGCTGCATGCATGCCTCTTGTCTCGGCATCCCTCTTACGATTCCATCCATGGAGCTTTACAGTCTTCTACGCTTCTGCCTATCCCAATCACAACGCCCTGTCCCTTGTTCCCACGCCCTGTCCCTTGTCCCACGCCCTGTCCCTTGTCCACGCCCTGTCCCTTGTCCCACGCCCTGTCCTTTTCCCACGCCCTGTCCCTTGTCCCACGCCCTGTCCCTTGTCCCACGCCCTGTTTGTCCACACGCCTTGCGCCACACACTTTTGCAGCTGGAGGATAAGAGCAAGGCCGAGGCACGCGCAGGGGCGATGCTGGTGGTGAGGGAATGGTGGAGCAGGAGGTGGGGAGGCGGTGAAAGCAGCGGATGAGGGCGAGAGTTGGGGGCAGAGAGAGGGTGGCGGATGGAAGGGAGTGCCCGGGGGCAGACATGGAGGGACACCGCGAGGAGGCGAATGTGCAGGGCAATGGGGATGGGGACGCGGAGGGGTATGGGGAGGATGGTGGCGAGGGGGGGTATCGGGGGGGTGAGGAGGATAGGGATGATGATGACTGCAGCGATGCTGGCGCTGGTTTTGGTGCTGATGTGGATGCTGCTGCTGGTGGAGATGATGATGCCGGTGTTGGTGGGGCAGCTGTGGCATCGCAGCCATGGGGATGGAAGGCGGCGTGGATGGGTGTGCAGGAGAGTTGACTCCGATGACGATGATGACGACAATGACGCCATTCACCACGCCTCTCCCATTGCCCGCTTCCTCTTCCCACACCCACACCCATGCCGTGTCAGCCCGTCCCTGGAGCCACCCGTCTCACCCGCACAGCCGTGTGCACGGCACCTCGCGCGGCATCTTGCATGCACATGCGGTGGCCGCCCACCAGGTGTGCCGGTGGGGCGTGGCACCGCGCGCACTCACAAAGAGAGCTCAACCCCGCATCACCTCGCCGCTCTGCACCATTATCTGCCGTTTATGCTACCAGTGAAGGCGCTGCTGCTGCTGCTGCTGCGGCTGCCAGTGGAGTGGCAGCGCTGGCGGAGGCAGCGAGGGCGATGGTGAAGCAGGAGGCGATGGAAACGGAAGAAGCGCACGGGACGGAAGCTGCTGCACTGCCTCTTCCCCTCCCGCACATGCACTCCAACACAGCGGCTAGCTCGGGGTGTGGGTGAGGTCGAGGTGAGCCAGAGGGGCATTGAGAGGCGATGCGGCAGGGGGTGCAGCAGCAGCTGGTGGTGGCGCTGATATCGCAACGCCTGCAGCAGAAGGGGACAGAGCCGCTAGGGAGGGTGCCTTTGAGGTCTTTGCCAGTGGAGGCGTCCAGAGGCAGAGCTCCGAGTGATGGGGTTCCAGCCAATAGGCTGTCGATCGTTGAGGCCTTGCTGCGCGGGAAGCGCGGCCCAGATGAGCAGCTGGCGCAGGAGAAAACGAAGCTGCTGAGAAGGTTCTGGATGGTGTGGAGGGGGTCAGCAGGGGGAGGGGAATGGGCAGCATCAGCCTCCTCCTCAGCAGCAGGCAGAGCAGCAGGCAGAAGCAGCAGCGCGCGACAAGCGTGGAGCACATGGAGCGGGCAGTGGCGAGCGTGTGCAGTTGGGGTTGACAGGAGGCAGTGCACCTACCTCAGCTGCGCACGGGCTCACATGGCCCTGGCCGTGATGCTGCTGCACAGCAGGCCGTGGCAGGCAGGCAGCACAAGTGGTGCACCCGGGCCTGGTGCTGCCGGCATGCCGCATGCCACGCCACCCGAACCTGTCCCTGCTGGTGCTGGGGCTGGAAGAGGGCGGAGAGGACGGAGGAGTGTGGCTCTTGGCAGCTCCACAGCGGCTGCTCCTGCTGCAACACGTGCAGCAGCAGCTGCAGCAGCAGCAGCCCCACGGGCAGCAGCAGATCAACAACAGACTCAGCAGCAGCAGCAGCAAAACAGCGTGCTGAAGCCTTGGAAGCAACGGGATTGGTTAACAGGTTTACAAGAGAAGCAGCAAGAGGTGATGTTGCAAGCGGGGAGGTGAGAGAGGAGGTCGCTTGTGGACCTTCGGGCAGCTGAGCAGGGGAAGGGAGCCAAGGGAAGGGGTAGTGAGCCGTTCGGTGGGATTCAAGGCCCGCGCTTGCAGCCACAACGCCATTGTGGCAGCAGGAGAAGGATATGAGGTATGGTGCGACACATGATGGTGGAGTGAAACAAGGCGGGGCGATGCAGCTCGGGAGCTTCTCACTGCCGTCTGCATCCACCGCGGTGCAGCCCACGCAGCCCACGCAGCCCGTGCAGCCCGTGCAGGCCACACAGTGGCCGCTGAACCCCTTGCAGTCAACAACGAGTTTCTCGCCGCTGGAAGTGCCCCACAGCAGCACAGGGGGCTGCCCAAACAGATCTGAATATCGGGTAAGCTTCATGCACTGATGTGGTCTCATGCTTGCGGCCCCGATGCTTTGAACTCATGTGTTCTCACACCTCAAATCTCCCCCCCCCCCCCCCCCACCCTCCATTCCTGTTGTGACACCATGTTGGATTGTGCATCATGCAGGCTGTACGGCGCCTTTGATGACGATGGTCTCACACCATATGAAGACCCTACTAGCATTTGTTCGTCTGTACAATAGCAT